CCGATGGCAATTTGCCACGAGCTGGGTGGCCTCGCGCAGAGGCTGGCGGGCCTGGCCGAGGACGCCCGCCCCCCCCCCCCGAACGTGAACTTCTTCTTTGGAGGTGTGGTGGTTGTGGGGGCCAAGCACCCCGGGGACAACAAAATCAAGTGCATGCTCGGGGAAGTCTCAGGCGAAAACGGTATGCCATAACGGATGTTCGGGACAAAGTTTATGTTCATGAGCAAGTGTATGTTCGGGCCGCAGAAATCCCAGCGCCCTGAGCAAAGCGCAAGATCCCAGAGTGCGCGATGCCATCTCGCATGTTCTCCAGAGGCAGTCGGGGAGAGCACCGAGATGGGCCCTATGAGGTGGATGGGCCGTATGAGACCCACGAGGTCGACGGGCCCCATGGAACCCATGAGGCTGATGGGCCCATCGGCCCTGCGTTGCCGACGAGCCCCATGAGCTCAAGGAGGCCTATGCTACGGTAGCCTCAGGGGAGTCGGCGCCGCATGCTCGCTCGCCTGGGTGTTGCCCTAGTGGGCCTTATGATGCCGATGATCTCTTTCAGCCTTATGAGGCCGATGAGCCCTATGCGTGAACCCCAGTTGCCAGCGTTGGCCCTGCGAGGATTTATGTTTCTAGCGGTCTAGGCTGCGTATGTTTCCTCCTCCATCTTTCTGCATACTCCCGGTCTATCCTTCCCCCTCCTGCCTGCTCCTTTCCCCTTCCCCATCCACCTCCTCACCCCCCCTCGCTTCCTCATGCGCAGTATAGTATTCCTCCGTGCATGGGCGTTTTATCGTCGACGTTTCGCAGTGCGTGGCGGGAGTCGCGGCGAAATGTCGATCTTTCCTCACCGCCGTGCATTTTCTTAAATGAAATGTGCGCTCCCGCTTTGGCGCGGCGAGCACCGATCGTACTGCGTTTTTGGTGTATGCTTCCATCGCTCGCCCGCAGTGTTCCCCGTCTTCCTCGCCCTTGCACATTATATTGGTTTCATGTGTTCTCTCGTCCCACCCACGCTTCGTCGCCATTCGCCACCCTCCCACGCCTTCTTGTGGTCTCTCCCCATAGTGCACCCTCGTCACTCGATCTCGTGTCCTCGCCGCCTACTTGTGCAGGGGTCCCGCTGCTCATGCGCGCATGGAACTCATGGAGTCCACGGGGCCCGCGGGAGCGAGCAAGGCTCATGGGCTTCTCGCGGCGAACAGGGCCGGTAAATATTATAGTGTCTATGAGGCTCGTGTGGCGAATGGGGCTCACAAGGCCCCGGCGGCCTGTTTTTTTTTTTGTGGGTTTCATCGGGCTCACTCGGACCGATCGGCCTCATGGGGCTCATTGGGCCCATTAGCCCCATATGGGAACGTGCGAATGCGGCGCGAGTGTCGTGGGGAGCACGGCCTCATAGGGCTCACTGGGCCACGCGGGCTCATATTGCGCACTCGATAAAGAGGCCTCACAGGGTTCGGATGGCCCATCGGCCTCCCAGGGTGTGTTGCCCATGCCGCGCAGGCTTCATGATGGTGCCTGGCTTCATAGGGCTCGGAGGGCCCATCTGGCTCATCAGGCTTTCGGCCTCATCGGGCTCATAGGGCCTGTCGGCCTACTGGGCTCATAGGGGCCATCGGCTTCATAAGGCTCCCAAGGTTCATCGGCCGCATTGCGCCCGCCAGGGCTGATGCGCGCAATGGGGACTGCAGTGCTCACAGGGTTCACCGTCATAAGGATCATGGGATTGTAGGGCCCATGCAGCCCATCGTGCTCCTAGGGCTCGCGGAGCTCCCGCGCGCCATCGACCTCGTGGGATAGACAGGGCGGGCCCGTCGGCCTCTCACACGGGCTTCAAGCCGCCCGAGGCCCATGTAGAACGCAGCCTGAACTGCTCGCAGGGCTCGTCGGCCTCGCGGGGCCCGCGGGGCCCGCCGGCCTCGCGGGGCTCACAGGGCCGATCGGCCTCGCTGGGAGGAGGAGCAACGGGAGGAGGAGGAGGGGCAGGAGGAGGAGAAGGATGGACTTGACCTCTTCCCGAAGTTCAGTTCTCCCACGGCCGAGGGGTAGAACTGCGATCGGCCGCTTTCTGATCCTCGTGCGTGTCTGCACTTCTTCCTACCTCGACCTCCTGCGTCGTGATTGCTCAACGCCAGCGTTTGTTTCACAGAGAGCTTTCCAGATAGTGCATTGTTTTCCATTCGAACAGTGCCGCGCCCAGTAGAGGGCGCGCTTCAACCTTCCTCGCGCTGTCCACGATGCCTTTTATATGAAAGTTTCTCACCCCCAAGAGAGCGGAATCTACATCGCCGTACGAGCGAATGCGCGGCCTTTACGAGGAGGGCGCAAGAACAAATCATGTTCAAGTGTCTTACTGTTTCTTTCTCCTTAGAGTTGCTCAGCCCACCTCCGCCTCCTCTCCGCCTGTGCCGCCAGCTACCGCGCCGCGGCTGTTCGGCAACTGGTGCAGGCTGACGACGCCGCCCCGGCAGAATCCATGCCCCCGTCCACTCGACCGTCTACGTCTTGTCGCTGCGTGCGAGGCGGCGGCGGCCCCCCGCAGTTTCCTGAACTTGCGCTTCCGCGCTGCTTGCTCTGCAGGGGCTTGCGTAGTCCGCTGTGTGCCACCTCGTCAAATGGCACCGTGTCGCTGGCAGGCCAAACCGTGTTTAGAAACGGACGTTCGCCAGGTTTTCACACATGCCTTGCGGTCGCTTCCTAACACGATATTGGTGACGTCAGACATCCTCGCTTTAGTCCATGTTTCCCATCTTTCCCTTCAGTTTATGGTTAGGGTCGGGCGGTGTAGGTGGCAGGAATATTCGAGGTACTGTCGTCAATGAACCTAGGATGCCTCCGAAGACGAAGGTGGTGAATTTCGTAAAATTTGACATGCATGGCGGTATGTGTACTTGCAATTGTGGAGGTGAAGCCCAGAGCGGTATGCAGCTCATCGTATTGTTTGAACATCGATCGGGTAACGCTGCCCTGATGAACGCCGCTGCCGGAATCAACTTCAGAAGCGTGCGAACGAATTTTCCCAATTGGTCTCTCCGCTGGGCCACGTGCGAGCTCTGTTGGCCCCCCGAAGCCGCCACAATAAGTTCGAAGCTCGGGTTATCGTAAGCGAAGCTGGGATAGGTAAAAGTAATCATCGAAAGTTTCGATTCAATCTTCACTGTGTAAGACGTTGTTTGCGAATCTGTCGAAAACGCGCAATGTTGGCACCACTAATGAACAACATGTGGTTTGAAAAGTATACATCATTTTTTTGTACATCCATTGCCGAGAAACAAATCCCAGTATGTACCCACGCTGGTTCCATCGATGTTTTAGGAATTTACACGTTGACTCGTAGGTATGGCACGAGGCTGGACAGGAACTTTGCATTCAAAAACTCCATGAGCCCTCTTGTGTTTGCGTTTTTTTTGTTTTGTTTGTTTATTGTTGTTTTTTTCCAGAGTGTCGGACAATTTCGACTTGACCGTTTTCAGTACACAGCGTTTCACTTTGTTCGCGGATCCGATGGCTTGTATTTCGTTGCTGCTCTGCTTGAGTCACCGCATCGCTTTCCAATATTCCAGGGCAAATCGCATAATCGCGAGTCTGCGCTGGCCGCGGCTCTTAGCAGAAGATCCGAGATACATTCGCATGACGAACATAATGACATGACACGTGGTTTTCATTAGAACTATAAGCAACCTGCTCTGGCATTTTTGGTGGTGCTCTTCAATGCTCTTCTTGACAGCGAGGTCTTCTGGACCATGGTTGTCCAATCGTCTGGGTTTTTGCGGTCTCCATCCTTGTCTTGTGGAAATGTGCCCGTCGACCCCCCCATTGCGGTCGTGCCCGTCGACCCTGTGTATTTTTGAACCGGTTCCGAATCAGGATCCGAAGTATTCCTTTGCCTCTGACAGGTTGTGGACAGAAATTGGTTCTTGACGAAGGTCGACTTTCATGAAGTGCTCTGCGGAACAGGTTCACGAAGAGGTCCGAGAGGTGAGCGGAAACGTCCCACGAATACGAGCTGATGGGCGTTAATCCTTGTGCATGCATCGCTTGTCCATAAACTGCGCGTACGAAGGATTACAAAAGAACCCTGTTTTTTTTTGCAATCCTGTTTTTTTTTGCAATCCTTCGTTTTGCAATCCTTCGTGCATGCATCGCTTGTCCATACACTGCGTGTCTTGGGTCGCCACGTCGTGGCGCGACGGCCCCCCTACATGTTAAAGTCTCCGCTGTGCGGCAGGGCCGCGTTCCTTTCCCTGACCCTCGTTTCCCTTGCCCCCGCGCTGCTCACCGCGCCGCGCTGCGGGCTCGATGCGGTGAAAGCCATGGGCTGATCTTTGTCGAACTTCTTCGCCAGGGTGCACCCTGGCAGTTCTTTTTTCCTCGTCTCTTCTTCATCCTCACTCCCTTCTCCCCTCTCGCCCCCTCTCGCTGTATTGTGTGTTTTATACGATCGGCAATTTGAGCCTCGGGGGATATGCAGCGTGCTCGATGCCTCTTTCAGGCCGCCGATTTGGTGCATAAGTTTGCCTTCTTCTGAAGGTCAGCCCGGGCCTGTGTGGGGGTTCCCTGTTTGCGTGGCGACTCTTTGGTTCGCACTGCGGTCGTGGCCGAGCTGTGCAGAGATCAGTGGTCCCGCTCCTTTCCTCCTCAATCAAATTTGCCAGTCTCCTAGGAAACAACTCGAGCCCACTGTCGCGCATCTTGTTGTCCAGCTGCAGGATCAAAAAAGGTGCGACAGGAGAAGGGTTTGCCGGAATGTGCGAGAGAGAAGGGTTATCAGGACGGGGCAGCATAGCAGGAGGTGCGAGGGGAGACGCATCAGCAGGAAGGTGCGAGAGAGAAGGAGGATGAGATGGCGCAGCATTTGTACCAGCAGCAGCATCAGGTGCAGCTGCATTGAAGGCAGGGAACGGAAGAAGTCCAATCAGGAGGGGACGGAGTGGAAGCGGAGGTTTCGATTGTGTCTCCTCTGCATGCGTCATCATGTGTGTACCCCGCGACTCCGTGCCTCCATCAGCGGCCCGTGCCGGGCGCGGGCAGGGTGGGGCCAGCTGCAGGATGGGCCCGGAGGGCCGTTTTCTTGCTGTCGTTATGGGCACGGTCTCCATTCATGTTCGAAGGGATCGGCAGCGTAAATGTAATTATGTTGTTCGTGACATCCGATGCATGTTACGTCGCATCTGGGGCTGCTGATCGAATCCGAAACGGAATCTGCTGCTGCTTATGCTCAACCCTTGGCGCGTTCCCTTGCCGTCGGGAATGGTAGTGAAACTCTGGTACCAATTTCTGTCGTCGCAGCAGCGTCTGGGTATCGCAGAGGGCGATAATTCTGGCAGTGGTCGTCGCACGGGTTTTGGATGGTGACTCTTGTAGGGCGCGGGTAATAGATCTCCGATGGCGGAGTAGTCATTCACTGCCACCGCTCCTTTCGGGAACAGCCAGGACGCCGGTTAAGGGGAGCTCGATGGTGATAAGGACCGAAATCAAGCAAACTGTGTGATGATGGTATTCTTGCTCGCATGGGCGCGCGTGGTGGTGGGTATGACCACTGGTCGATGTCTTTCACACAAGATCAAATACCCGCCTCGTCCTTTGTTCTCCTCGTCCTCACCAGCCTCGTCTGCCTTTTCATTCTCTTCCCTGTCCTTAGGAAGATGGTGCGCACGCTCTGTGATCATCCAGCTTCTCGGGATGACCGCAGAGTTTGCGCACCATCGTGTTACCGTCGTCGTGTTCTTCGACGCCAGTCGCATCTGGAACCCCGCCCTTTTTCTCTGTGAGGCCTTGGTGCATCCGCCATCGCCGTGCGCCGCGGCACTAAGCACGACGAAAGATGATCGTCGGTTTTCTGCTAGTGTGTGGCGTGGGAGCCACCGCCGTGGTGCACGATGCGTGGTATCAGGCATGGCGCTCGCAACTAATTATCCCAGGTTGCCGCACGATGCTTTGTGACTTGATGTGTATCCCCATTCGTTCATCCAGAAACGCTACCCAGTCGCATTGCCGAGATAAGGATATAGGAATATGCTTAACGAAACACATAAGGGGGATGCCACTCGAACTCAAGCTGTGGTTTCTCCGAACAGCCCCACCAATGGTCAACTTGGTGACCTCTGGAGCCTGTTGGCTGCCTCTGTGAGCAATTCTGAAGGTCTCTTAGGGCCAGCTGGGGCGACTAAGTGTTCCTTTTGATGCTCTGTTGAAGGCCTTACGGGTTGTCTTGGGGCCAGACGAAAATTACAGAACGAGAAACCTTAATTTAGCCCCCCCCGTGGAGCTCGAACCATAGTCTATTCGAACCCCCATGGGGTTTTCCTGGGGCGCTCTTGGGGGCACTCGGGACCGTTTTAGGACCATGCTGGAGCGTTCTTGGGGCTCTCTTGGGCCATTTTTGGGCCGTACATTTTGAGGCGTAGTTGGAAGCGAAGCTGCTGAACAGCCAGTGGTTTTCGACATTTTGTCCTTTCGGGGTAGCCGTGGGGGGCACTGGCCACCTCGGGCCGTCTTGCGGCGGTCCTCGGGCGTTTGTGGCGGCATGTCAGAGGTCATCTTGGACCACCGTTGAGGGTAGTATTGGAACCACATTGTGGCAAACTTGTTCCCCTGACTTCTCGCGTGGGAGCCCGTCCAAATCCAAGAGTGGTCCGGAATGCCATGAGCTATCTCGCTCCCTCCCATCCGCCTTGCCACCACAGAAGTAGCACGCCAGACGCAGCATTGGCAGCTGCCGCCACCCGATGGGCTGCAACGAGTACGCCCGTTGCGCCGCGCTCACGAGGCGTGCCATCCGTGTCAGGTGCGCCACGCAGACTGCGTGCGCCATGGTACCCCGAGTGCCTACGCGTTCAGCCGCGGTTGGTTCGCCAGATGCGCTACGCGCGCCACGTGAGCCAAGGGCCCCGACTGCTTCAGGCGCCACGTGCGCCACATGCGGGACTCGCGAAGGGTGCCCCAGATGCACCAGTTCGTATGATAACAAGCAGTGGGCAATCTGTCGACACCTTTACTGTCTTTGTCGAAAATCGATGTGGAGTAATGGCGGGGTGGCCAGCATGGCGCATGTTGTGTGCACCCGAAATTAGTTAGCATTGGCTTTTGATAAGGATGGTTGGCCAGCACGCACCAGACAAGATTATCCCACCTCCCAGACCAGCGAACAAAGGATGACGGAGTGCTCCCGCGTAGTAAGCACGCTACCAGGTCCAGATTGCTTTGCGCGCAACGGAAGCGCTCCTCTTCGGAGTCCGCCAGAGTTGGATAGCAAGGGCGGGGCAGTCGTCAGCTTCTTTCCCCTCCTCCGCCTTCCTGTCACCACCCCACCACGGGAAGGAGGATAAGGACGAGGAGGAGGATGATGAGGACGAGAAGGAGGAGAAGGAGGAGAAGGAGGAGGAGGAGAGCGAGGAGGAGGAGGAGGAGGAGAAAGAGGAGGAGGGCGAGGAGGAGGAGGAGGAGGAGGAGGAGGAGGAAGAGGAGGCAAAAGCAGGGGAGGAACATGAGGGAGAGGGACGAGGGGAGAGGGAGGCGGGAGGAGGAGGAGGGGAAGGGAGGACCCTCCTCCCTTCGAGGCGCGCCTCCGCGCAACCCCCTCGCAGTTGGTTCCGGCCTAGCGTGCCCAGCGAGCGAGGACGCCTGGCCAACGGCGGCAAGGGAGGCCCTTGCAGCCTGAAGCGTCGCGGGAAGAGCTCTGCCGAGTGGCGGCGTTTGGCGCGATGTCCGAGGCGGGCGCCGCGCGGAGGAGGCGGAGGAGGCGGAGGAGGAGGACGAGGAGGAGGAGGAGGAGGAATCGGAGGTAATGCACCTGTCCTTCCCTCTCTTCTCACCGCGCTTTCTCCGCCGCGTCTTGGGTCAACTTGATCCGAGTAAAACAGACTTGCTCCCTTACATGCAGCGGGGCTGCGGTTTAGAGAATCCTGGCTTTCAGATTCACGGGGGTTGGTCCTAAGGCATCGACGCAAACAGATGAAGTGGTAGACGATAATGGATTCAATGGGAAACACACGCTCGTTCACGGAGCAGATGGCATCAGTCCACAGGCTAGGATCCACAGTTCACCAGCGTTGGGGCGTTGTCCCACAAGCCCTGTGGGGTTCCACAGCCTCTGGGGGGCTTGTTTCCGCAGCCCCTGGGGGCTCGCTGCACAAACCACGGGGTTCTTTCTGCAACTTCCTCAGATCCCTAGGGTTCACCTTCTCCAGGAGGTTCGTTCCACTCAGCCAAGGGCTTCTTTTCGTAAGCTCCAGAGGGTTGCTCCGCAAACCCTGGGGGCTTCCACGGCCCCGTGGGGCTCGTTCCACGAATGGGTCTACTTTCGAAACTGGACGGGCCTCAGAGCCTTTGTTCGATACGAATTTGATGCAGCATTTCAGACAAGAGGCCGTGTCCAGAAGTGCCACCGGACCGAGCGTGCGGCACTGGCACCGCCGCCGCCATTGGCAGCCAGATTGTCAGGGATAGTCACGTTGGGAGTGTCGTCAGGGCCAGGCAGGTCAAAGCAGCCACGCCAGCGTGCTGTTCGCGATCGTTCCAGGTCCAGCTGGAAACACGGGCGTTTGACAGTATCTTCAAGTGAGAATGGTTGCTTGCTGTCACCGTATGTCTCGTTTACTGTCGGCGTCGCGATCCGTGAAGGGGCCTCGGTTAATGATGTCGTCAACTACTACTTGCAACTGTCCTGCGTGAGAAGCCTTGACACTGCAAATATATGCCTTGACACGCGTTGGTTAGGTTCTGTAGAGAGTGGTAGGTGAGTGTAGCAGGAGCCATGCATGCGCCTTGGGTATCAAACATAACGCCTGTGCATCTGATTATGTAGGAGTATGTACAGGTGGCATACGCAGAGCGGGAATTCTTTCACTGCGGTGTGGTGCCCCGTCCGTTTTCCCTTCCCTTCCTCCGTCCATCTTCCTGTTTTCTTTGTTTGCGCGCTCTTTCCCAAACCTCATGCTTCTTACGCGCGACTTAAGTTGGCGTCCCTTTCGCCTTTCCTGCGCAGGGGGGGACACGAAGCATGCTGGTAAAGTGCGAGACCAAGAGCAACCGGGTGAAAGGCCGCTCGGGGAGCGGCCGGGTCCACGGATTTCAATTGCACAGTGATGGGCGTAGCAGCAGGCGGGCTTTGTACTGATGGGACTCCGAGAGAGCTGGGCCGATGTTGCTTCACTTTGTATGGGGAGGGATCTCGTAGAGGCCCTACGATTTGGTCGGATGATCCGGGTGGAATGTAGAGCACAGATGAGATTGCACGGACAATTGTTGGAATCTGGAGTCGTGGGGTGACTGTAATTTGGGTACTGATCGTTCAGCTCGGGGCCATGTGGGGCCTCGTCGGACCATGCTTGAGGAGGAGGGGGATAACAAAACATGATGATGGCGAAGATAAGGCTGGGAAGGACGAGGAGGAGTAGGCGGAGGAGGAGGAGGAGGAGGAGGAGGCGGAGGAGGAGAAGGAGGAGGAGGAGGAGGAGGAGAAGGGATGATGAGGAGGAGGAGGAGGAGCAGGATTATAAGGAGGCAACCAAAAAGGGAAAGGACAATGGGAAGCAGCAGAGGGCTGCCTTGTAGCTGTCTTGGGCCAGTCTTGGGCCATCACGGGTCAGGCTCACACTGGGTCTCTTGAGGAAGATTTCCGGGGCATGTTGGGGACCTTGATTGTACCTTTTGGGAGTGTTGGGGCCGTTGGGGTTTTCGGGGCTGTCGGTATGATCGTGCGCCAGTCTTAGAGGTATCCATTTGACTGCGGCAAGTCTCGCCACCGTGCCAGTCCAGTATTCTGGGTGGCGACTGTTCGAGGGTGCACGGGAGGCCATCACGTGTTGCCCTTCGTGTCCTCATGTTTGGGAGAACGGCGATGATGCTGATGGTGATGATGATGATGCTGATGATGACGATGAGGATAAGGCGGAGGATGAGGATGAGGATGATTCTGAGTATGATGATGACGACGACGTTGATCGCGATGGCGATGCTGATGATGTTTATGCTGATGATGCTGATGATGCTGATGATGCTGATGATGATGACTACAATGATGAACACGCATCTGATGATGACGAATATGCTGATGATGCTGATGATAATGACTTTGTTGATGCTGATGACGATGATGATGATGGTGATGATGACGATGCTGATGACGATCATGATGATGCTGATGATGATGCTGTCCTGCTGCTGCTGATGATGATAATGATGATGATGATGACGTTGATGATGATGTTGATGCTGGTAATGATGCTGATGATGACATTGATGATGCGGATGCTGATACTGATGATGCTGCTGATGATGAAGATGCTGCTGCTGCTGCTAATGCTGATTAATATGATGATGCTGATGCCGATGGTGATTGTGCTTCTGATGATCATGATGATGACGATGACGACGTCAATTATGAGGATGATGCTGATTGTGATTGTGGCGATGGTGATGGTGATGGTGATGCTGCTGAGGATCATGACGGTGCTGCCGACGATGATGATGATGTTGGTGGTGGTGACGATGCTGATGATGATGATGCTGCTGCTGATGATGATGACGATGATGATGATGATGATGATGATGATGATGATGATGATGATGCTGTCGATGATGATGATGATGATGATGATGATGATGATGATGATGCTGATGATGATGAAGATGATGATGCTGATGCGGTTGATGATGATGATGGTAATGATGCTGATGACGGGGATAATGATGAGGAGGATGAGGATGATGATGCTGCTGATGCTGATGCTGATGCTGATGATGATACTGATGATGATGATGATGATGATGATGCTGATTATGATGATGATGATGATGATGATGATGATGATGCTGATGCTGATGATGGTGATGGTGATGGTGATGATGATGGTGATGGTGATGCTGCTGCT